TAAATTTTGTTCTGAAAAATCATTTGCGTAAAAAGGATTCAATTCTTTTCCCCCTTTCCAATTCTGTCCCTTATTGCAATAAATCTTATTTAATTGTAAACAAAATTTGATTCTGAAAAGGAATTCAGGTAGCTGGAATAAATCAGCTGATAAAATAAAAAAAAATTCTATGACTATATTTCTTTAAGAGTGTTCACTTACTTTGCTTGTAAAGTTCCTCCCATCTGACCAATACTTCTGGTTTCCATGGTGTAGGGATGTACGTGAAGACGCCCCTTCTGGTCGCGGTTAGTGAAAGCGTTGTTTCTGGTACACATATAATGGTAGGTGCCGGCGTCTGGTGCCTTGATAGCCCCCAGATTGAAATAAGTTCCAGCATCATCTAATTCTGACATCTCACCGCCAAATTGTCCTGGAAACAGAATCAAGAGTTGTGTTGCATTCGGATCATGGCAAAGATATGGGTGCACATTCCAAGATGATCCAAGTCATAAACACAAGTTGTCCATTTTATTATGCAGTAAAGTTGAGAAAAATTTTTGAGCAAAAAAAATAATTTTTGGGGTAAGTACCAATATCAATATTTATTTTAGTGGTTTTATTTTTTGCTTCTTGTGATTCCACTGAAACTTAGCGTTTTCTGACATCGTTATCGTAAAGGTGCTTTGAAAATTGGAATGGTGCAAACCTTATACTATCACATAAAAAGTTTTGAAAACCTCTTTACAATCCCTTTAAGCATACCTGGTTCGAGGAAGGCCAATCTTCGCAGAACGTCAATACCAAGAGGTGCTTCACTGGCGTGGATTGGGTAGTTGACACCATAATGTCCAAACTCTTGACCAGGTCCATTATATACACCAGTGCCCTCTGGATACACTTGGTTATTCATCAACACGATATTGTTTCTATCTGATCCAGCACGACCTTGACCATCATTACCATTGTTGTTAGTGTTTGAACCTGTCCATCTGGAATGAATGAATGAATGATTAAGGGAATGAATGAATGATTGAGGGAAGGATTGAATGAATTGTGGATGGAATGAATGATTAAGGGAAAGAATGAGGGAATTGAGGGAA